TTTGACAGATCTTCTTGAAATAAATAAACATTCTACAGAATTTCTTGGAATAAGTACAAAATTTGACAGATCTTCTTGAAATAAATAAACATTCTACAGAATTTCTTGGAATAAGTACAAAATTTGACAGATCTTCTTGGATGTAAGTAAAAAATTCTTAAGATTTTCTCGGAAATATGCCTAAAATTCGACACATCTTGTTGAAATATGTATAACATTTGAAAGATCTTAGACATAAGTAAAAATTCTACAGATCTTCTTGAAATAAGTAAAAATTCTACAGACTTTCTTGAAATAAGTAAATTTTCTACAAATTTTTTTGAAATAATTACAAATTCGACAAATATTACTGAAATAAGTACAAAATTCTACAGATCTTGGAAGTAAGTAAAAAAATTCTACAAACTTTCTTGAAATAAGTACAAAATTCGAAAGATCTTGGAAGCAAATATAAAATTCTAAAGAATTTCTCGGAAATAAGCACAAAATTCTGCACATCATCTCGAAATAAGTAAATATTCGACAGATGTTACTGAAATAAGTACAAAATTTGACAGAACTTCTTGGAATAAATAAAAATTCTGCAGACTTTCTTGAAATAAGTACAAAATCCTACAGATGTCCTTGGAAGTAAATAAATACAAAATTCTAAAGACTTTCTCAGAAATAAGCACAAAATTCGAGCATGTGATGGTCACTAAGCTGTGTTTTATTGACGTTCTTTAACCCTTTACGTCTTTCATCGTGTTAACCCGCTGTTATGTTAAGTAAACCGAAATATATTCTTAGACAGTGTGTCAACACTACCGTTCAGTCAACTTCCACAGCATTGGTCATTTGCACCTGTTATATCTCTTCCTCTATTGATGTTCAGTCAAAAAATGTTAAAAGTGATGTTAAATTCTTTACATTTAACAAGTGAATAAGATGTATAGTAAAGTTATAATTTCAACCCACCCTGGTGAGTATTATAGGAACTATGTTATTTATTAATATATACAATAAGTATAGAAGTCAGATGTTTTTTTTATTTTTAATTTCGTGAAAAACTACACGAGGGCTATCTGCGCTAGCCGTCCCTAATTTAGCAGTGATATACTAGAGGGAAGGCACCACCCACCGCCAACTTTTGGGCTACTCTTTCACCAACGAATAATGGGATTGACGTTCACATTATAATGCCCCCACAGCTGAAAAGGCGAGCATGTTTGGTGTGATGGGGATTCGAACCTGCGACCCTCATACTGCGAGTCAAGCGCCCTAACTATCTGGTCATGCCGGGCCATAGAAATCAGATGGAGACTGGTGAGTATTATATGAACTATATTATCTATTAATATATACAATAAATTTAGAAGTCAGATTGAGATCTGTTATTTTGAAAAGACTGCAGACCAAAGTACATTGTTTGTATACTCAAATTCATAAAACTGTTCCAATAAAATAATATAATATTCACTCCTTCAAAGGGATCTTTCGCCTACTGATAATGAATAATGTAAAATTAAGAATAACCAAACATTGAATTCTATGCATAAATATATACATTATGTATGGGAACAAAAATCCCATTTCAAGGTTTCATATCTACCTTGAAGCGGCCTTTTCACAAGCTCGTGTTGTGTCAGCCGCATCGACGGGTGGAAATGTGGCGAGAGTAGAATCTTGCTTTTGGAGACTTCGATCGCCTTGTCCGACTGCTTGTGAAGGGCTTCCACCTCGAGCGTGTGCCCGACGAACAAGAAAACCACCAACTAACGAATTAGGTATTCAAAACATTATTTACAATTAACATAGAAAAAAAAAACATTTTCTCACTCTCTTATTTGTGACTGGTCAGTAAATAGAAGTGTTGCTTTTCATATCTTTAAGAGTTTTAAAATTAAGAACTCACGAAAAGTATAAATCAAACAGTCTTCCTGTTATTGGGCGTTGCGAGAGGGATTTTCCTAGTGGGCAGTTGAAAATTCACCTATGTAAGTAGGTTCAAGTGGATAAATGTTAAAATAACATATTTAAGATTCTAAAATTCCATTCCAGAGTTGATAAATAAATGTATTTTCTAGAATATTCTTCATTTGTTACTAGGCTTGTATATATGAGGTGCAATAAGGCGTTGTGTATTTAAAACCGATGAAGTTAAAATATAATTGTGCAGTTGAAAAAAAAATTCCTTAGGAAAAGCTCTGCGTTGCAATGAAAATATAAATGATAAAATACGTTACAGAAGGATATAAAAGATGATATACAAAGCATTTTTATGCCTCTTCATTTATCAAAAGGCTTTGATTCAAAACTAGGCTAAAGATAATGTAATATGTAATAATGGCTAAAATGCTTCATTTCTTCCTAGGGCATCAAACAACGCTCTTCTTTAACAATTTTGGGCTTAACACGTTATTTGATAAGTCAGAAAGCTATGGTTACTATAATAAATTAATTGCTTGTATACTGAAATTCTAAGGAGTCCTTGATGAAAAATTAATTTGTTTAATGTATACACTAAAATAGAGTCTTGTGGTTAAATGTAAGTAAATATATAGGATCATATATTAAAATGTAGGTTAAAATATTAGAAATATTTACTATTTTACCTAATATCTATAAAAATAATAATAATGTAATGACAAAATAGCATTCAGGCATTATTTGAGTTTCATCGCTGGAAAAAGTTTGTTGTTTTTATCCTTTTCTAGTTAAATCCATAAACCGTTCATACGTCAAGAAATGTTACCTCTTAACACGTCGAAACTGATTTTAGATTTAGGAATCGTTAGTAAGGCAACAAAGCAAATCTCTCGGTTCATTTAGGGCTTCTTTAAGCCTAAACACTAAACAAATGTCTTATTGTTTCTTCGGAAGTTTGAACAGTGAAGTTATTGTAATGTTGAGCTCTTTTGTGAAAAGATTTTACCTTATTGTTCAAATCATATGGCCTTGTATCTTCAGCAAGCTAAAGATGGAATACATACATTCCGGAACTTTCAAGAATTAAATGTTTATTAGCGCCACACAGGTGTCAAATATTTGTTGTTGTTGACGGTGCCGTCGTACTATTGTTCATCATTAAACCACGTGTCAAATATTTGTTGTTGTTGACGGTGCCGTCGTACTATTGTTCATCATTAAACCACGTGTCAAATATTTGTTGTTGTTGACGGTGCCGTCGTACTATTGTTCATCATTAAACTTCGATTCCCGCCGAAACTGTCATTTAACAACAAAAACAATCATTGTTTTTTTCAGTATAAAATGTTTTATTTCAAAATGTCATTTTACAGTAGATTTAGTTGTGTTATTTTAATGAATCAATTAACTTTTAAAATGCCTTCATGACGTGTAATCTGTTCTTCCCTTGAAAATAAACACAGATATTGTTGTCTTAATCTAGGGTATACGCTGAACTGTTAATGTTCAAATTTGTGTGTGAATAACTACAATTAAAACGATTCTTAATAAGCTCGTTTTTTTTTACAATGATTCGTTTTTCTAATATATAAATATTTACTTATTTAATATAATATCTGACGTGTTTTTCACGATTTGGTGACTCGTAAGTAAGGATTTCGCTGACATAGGTTTAATTTATTGAATCCCTCTCAGCCACAATACTAAGACTTCAAATACACTGTAACTAACTCTTCTTTTCCGACTAAAAATGAAGAAAGCACAATTTAATATGAAGTTCCTTTTTGTTCAATAAGTTTTCTTCACAAAAAAGCACAAACAAACACCAATCATCATATACACATCTCCAAAATCATATAAGAACATTTAGTACTTTTCTTTATTATTCTAATATTCGACGTTTCGCCTTTAAAAGCTTAACATAATCAGTTTTTATTACAAAATGTTAAATTACTCTGTTCCGAATTCCTTTAAACTTAATTCTTACTGATGATACTGTTTAACGTAGGAAGTAAGTTGGGCTGCTTAAATTAATATGATACGGAAAATTTTATATATGTTATCAGATAAGCACAATCCAGTTCTTATTATATTCCTAGAGCCAATGATAAGAACGAATGGTTTACAATCATCAGAGTCGTAAGGTTTTATTGCTACACAGTATTCTGATATAAGCCGATCTATCTACTGTAATATTGTAATAACGTAATGCTCCCTTCTTGCGGATATTTAGCAAAATGACATTTTCGCCATAAAAAAAAACAAACAAATAAGGCAGCTGTTTTCTTCAGGGATGTTGCCGTTGTAGAAATAGATTAGATTATTTATTGCCGTTGTAGAAAATTTTCACTGAATATACTCACCAACAACTCTAAGACACAATCATCATGAAAAATCGAAACAGTTTATGTAAAACCAACATACCTTGCGATAGATCCGAATCACTTTCAGGTGGTTTTTCTTCATCTTTCGTCCCTTGGGATTCTGGTGGATTCGCCACTAGAAAAAAAAACGAATAACCAAGATTGAATTTAAATGTAAATTCAAACTAGAAGAAGGTTATTCTTAAAGGAAAAAAAGAAAGGTCAAATAACAGGATAGGAAGAAAAACAAAACGGGTACAACACAGGATACAAAAAACCTAATCACATACTCTTTAAAGCATCAATATTTAGAAAAGAAATAGTCAAACAATGAGGACAACACAGGATACAACATTTACTTTAGAACATTATAAAGAAAAAGTTTAACAATAGAGTTTGGTTTGTTTTGAATTTTGTGCAAAGCCACATTAGTCTCTCTCTGATCTAGCCGTCCCTAATTTACCAGTGATGGTCCAGGGGGAAGGCAGCTAGTCAACACCATCCATCATCAACCCTTGGGCTACTCTTTTACCATCGAATAGTGGGATTGACCGTCGCATTATAACGCCCCACGACTGAAAGGGCAAGAATGTTCGGTGACGGAGATTCGAACTCGCAACCCTCAGATTGCGAGTCGAGCGCCCTAACCACCAGGCAACAATAGGGACAACATATGATATAAAAATGCCATCATTTTTCTTTTGGGGCATTAAGTTATATAAAACAAAGGAAAAATATGGAATAACTTCTCCAGTCTATGAGGTGCGTTATACAAAGCTCTTAATAATGAGGAAACAGTAAGAAAATGATACGGTTAATCGGAAAGAAACAACAATATAATTGCAACAATGTGTTAAAAGGATCTTAACAATATGTATCCTGACTTTTAGTTACGTTATATAAACTTCTTAATAATAAGGAAACAGTAAGAAAATGATACGGTTAATCGGAAAGAAACAACAATATAATTGCAAAAATGTGTTAAAAGGATCTTAACAATATGTATCCTGACTTTTAGTTACGTTATATAAACTTCTTAATATTAGGGAAACAGTAGGAAGATTACAAAGTTTATCAGTAGAAGACAACAATAACACTTTAATAGTGTGTTAAAAGGGATCTTAAAATAATTTATTCCGGATTTTATTTACATTATATACAGTTTATGAATAAGAACTTAGTTCCCATTGTTTTCAATTCTATGATAAATCCTTATAGTTGCTGTAGATTTCATTGACCAGTTATTTATGGTTAATCTCATGCTTTTGTAATAAGGGAAAAAAGGTTCTCTAAATATTAAAGCTAAGACAATTTTGGTATATTTGAAGATTTTTTTTTCAGCTGAAGCCCACTTTAAGTACGGTGTATTAGATTTTTTTACATTTTATAGCAGTGTTAACACTCAGTTTGAATACACATGACACTCTTTAGAAAATGCATTGACTTGGTTAATGATATTAACAATTTTGGAAATTTTTCTTCGGATATGTATAAAGTTTTCGTAAAAAAATTGCGAAGTCTGAAAAATGTAAATAATTACTCTTCAAATCTGTTTTTGTATCTTGTCGTCACGAGTTGTTTAACGGCTTTCATCAGTTGTTTTCGACAGTTTTACTACGCCCTTTGATGAAAAACAAACCAATAGACCACAGTGCAGGTCATTGTAAAAAGATGGATGAGCGCTTTTCCTTTCTCTTTGTGGACCCAAGCATCATGTGTGCGAGAGATCGATGTTACAAAAAAAAATCTCCTACTTAGAAGATGTTATGTATTTAACCGGCTTTGTAAACACCAGAAGGCAACCAGAGTAAATGTCAGCAGTGATGCCTTTTGTTTCTTTCATCATACACTTGGATTGATCATTAGAAATAGTGCCGCTTGGCAGTGGCGTTGTTAGTAAAGTAAATACGTTTTAACTCCTTCGAACCATTCCTATAATTTTTTATTTCAAGTTAACAAAGTTTCGGTAAACAATGAACTTAGAAAAACACAAACAGATAAATCACAATTAAAAAAACATAAAAACAGCCATCCTATTATTTTCAGGAAGCAGACCATCCATCTATATTGGGAAAAGTTGGAGTTCCAATATCTAATTTGTTTATTTTTAATTCACTTGTGAAGAAGGAAGATTTGACTTCTTAAAGTAATTAGTTTATTTTACAAACTTGCGCACAATATATTTGTATTGGAGTGTTTTAGATTGTAAGCACAATAGAAAGGGTATCTTAATATAAACATTTGAATAAAGTACAGTTATGTGAGTTAAGCTATAGGCTCTCCCGAGACAAGACTAAGAATTAAATGTTTAAACTTCTCAAGGGATCTAGTATGAACTCGGTCGAAATTCTCCAATGGTCAATTGCTACGTTTAATTGACCGTTCTAACCATAAGAGTTTGTTTAACTTTTATTGAATCGTGAGAGAGAAAATCACGATATTTAGAAATGTATTGATTTTTTTCCGTTCCTTTGATTCAGCCACATCACGCACTTCAGATTTTCTTTCTTTTGTGCATAAGAACTGAAATAACAAGCATTTATTATGTAATATCTTCGGAGGTGGTCAAGATAAACGAAACAAACCGTATTTTTAGAAATTCGGGGAACACCCTCACCGACCAGTGATTGCTTGGTGTTATGATTACATAGGCCTGCGATGGATGTATTGTCTTGATATTTTAACATGTTCTACACTAATTCCTGTACGCTGAATCCTTAAATGATATCCATTTTTTTCCATCATGTACAGAGTTTTCACAAAACGTCATAACGTAATACAAAAAAGAAGACCACAACACGTAGTTTTGAGACTAAAAGACGTAGATTTCACAAACAAAATCAGAATGAATGAGGATGCATATTCGTTGAC